ACATACATAAATGCATACGGATATACACATTCCTTGTCATTCAGCCTCGTTCGAGCTCGAGCTGTTGTTTCTTATGACACCATTCAGTGCGCGATGAGAGACTTCCATCTCGTTTAGCAGAATCTGCAACGCCTCAGAAAGAGGCGCTGGTGTTCTGGCGATGTGTGGACGGATGGTCCGGCAAAAGGTTTCGGACAGAAGCGAGATCCGCTGTGAACTCGAGAAGGGCTTCTTGGGGTATCTTTTGGGCAGCATCAAGACTGCAATGTTTATCAATTTTCGCGAGTTCTGCCTCCCACCTGCAGCGTTAGGCAACACAACCGGTACATGCCCTTCTCTAGCAGACTGGATAGTAACGCATAGTCGGGCCTTATGGCTTTGACCATTGACCCCGCAAGCTGGCCAATCGGGACTAGTTGGAAGGGTCCGGTTGGAGCGGTCCCAACCACCGTTCTCTCAGCGGTCCCTTTGTTAGCCTAGCCACAACAAACACACCTGCATGTGTTTCTGAGGCTCGTAAGTGCAGTCTCTCCACCTCAGTACCGACAGGTTTCTGAGACGGTTGCAGCGAAGCCTCTCAAGCGACGTTCACAGAGCCCTTTGCACTTAACAAAAGAGCAAGGAAGGTTGCTTTTAGCTTAGTAAAAAGTAAGGCTGTCTTAGTGAATCAGTGCGATATGATTTGCATCAAAAAAAAGTTGGTCAGACGAAATCAGTGAATTGGTAGCACTGGATACTGAAGGAGCAAGGCCTTAGAGGAATGCGGACTGCTGAGCCTCGGTTCATTGTCCTGCGCCCCCGATGAATCTAAGCAAAGCTCTCTTCTGTCATGTGATAGGCGGAAAACTATACTTTACGTCAAAACGCACCCCAAACGCTTCGAGCCAGTTTAGCACTCTCATGCATCGCATGACTTGGATTTTGCATACACACAATGAATACATAATACCCTTAAGCAAAAGATTGCAGGATTATACGTTTTATTGTGGAGGCGAGGAAACACCTACTTCTGCATTCACTTCGCTTTCCTCCATCAACCTTGCCCATCTACAAGAATGTATCTTGGGCGTGAAATAGCCGACTAAATAATGAGTTGCCTCATTAAAGCCCTAAAGTTAGGCATAGGAAGTAAATTTGGCTGCACTGGACCACCTGTATTTTCTAAGCTTATTGCATTTGGTGTGTTTTATCGCTCTTACGATGTCTGTCACATAACAAAACAAAGCTTAGCACAGGTTCATCGGAGTCGCAGCAGGTTGAACTGTCTAACAGTTTTACCTCAGCGGCAGTCACCCAATCCTAATTCACGAATTACCTCCAACCAACTTTTCCTTCGAAATCAAAAGTCATGTCATAGTTGGGCATCACGTTTATAAGAAAAATGGAGGTTTCATTCAGATCAAACTATCCTAAAAAGACAATTTTCGTTAAACTATTTGCCTCTTGTTTCTGGGCTTTGATGAAATTGGGTTCTTGTGTGAAAGTGCCTGATGAAGCGCTTCTAAGTGACCCTCGTGAGATAGCAGTTGTGGTAACTGTTATTTGGTGTGAAAGAGCCTGATGAGGAAATTCAAAGATTGGTTCAACCAGATAAGCGTTGTTCTACTCTTGAAGTATCTTCAACTTGAAGTCTTGGTAGGAATGCGATCCAGCTCTGATTGTTTCTGTGTGAGGATGTCTCATGGACTCCGTTGACCTAAAGGACTAGGCCAATACAAACGACTGCAGAACAATGATAAGACCCACCTTCGAATGTCTTCATAAGGCCCTTAAAAACTGAGTGAACGTTACCAAAAATGCTATCTCAGGAGATTAATCAAGATTAAATTACAGTTCCACTATTATCCACTCCAGGTGGCGAGGGTGCCTGACTTATTTAATTTCATATCAAGAGAATCGGAAATAAGTAAGAAATAGTATTGTAATGGAGGTGATCCCTCATTTTGACCACATAATACCGCCAAAGAGAGATTGTCCTCTTAGTAGGATTTCTAGACATTTGTGCAATAGCAATCTAATCATAACGAAAGCTGGAAAAGGGGGAGCAGTGGTAGTCATGACTAAGTGAAATTATGTAGAAAAGATGCTAGTTCAGTTAAATGACAATGACACGTATAGGCCTTTACTGAAAGATCCA